CATTGTTGTTTGGCGGGCCCGGGCTGGATTCGAACCCACCACCTTAGGTGTATGTGGCTGGCACCTTAGCCACTTGAGCCACAGGCGCCGAGCCACTTGATGGTATCTTTTGCAGCAAAAAGTTTTCAGTTGTGATGAAGTCCAATTTATTATTTTTTTGTTGCTCATGCTTTTGGCACCATATCTAAGAAATCATTACCTAATCCAAGGCCATGAAGATTTATATTACATTTTTTTCTCAGAGTTTTGTTATTGTTGTTCTTACATTTAGGTATGTTATCCTTTTGAATTATTCTTTGTGGTGTGAGGTCAGAGTCCAGCTTTATTCATTTGCATGTTGATGTCTAGTTATTTCAGAACTTTTTGTTGGAAAGATTATTTCTTCCCCATTGAATTGTCTTGGCAAACCTGATGGCATATTCTTTTAAAGGTTAAAAGTAGCTGGCATCTGGCAAAAAGTTTTCAGAAGTGTTTTTGAAGTATTCTTTAAGACTACTGGAAATACTCAGATTACCACAAAATCAATAGGGAATTATTACTATTTTTTTTTGGAGACAGAGCCTAACTTTATTGCTGAGGCTGGAGTGCTATGATGTCATCCTAGCTCACAGCAACTTCAAACTCCTGGAGTCAAGGGATCCTCCTGCCTGCGCCTGTCACCTGGCTAGAGATCTTGTCTCAACTTCCCAAGTAGCTGGGACTACAGCACCCACTATAAAACCCAGCTAAATTTTCTATTTTTAGTAGAAATGAGGTCTTGCTCTGGCTTGTCTTGAACTCCTTCTGAGCTCAAGCAGTCCACCCATCTTGGCCTCCTAGAGTACTAGGATTACAAGTATGAGCCACCACACCCAGCCTCAATGGGGAAATTCCTAAAACTGACTTACTCAGGTTCCTTTTATCCTTACTTAAGAGTATTTTCTCTTTGGTTTATGTCAAGTGACCAGTCTTTCTTAATCTAGTTCAACTGGACTATGTCTTAAATTTTTTAAGCTCTCTAGGACTACATCTTACTTAGGTTCCCCCTTTTAAAATAAGAACTTATGTATTCCTGTATCTTGTGAGTAATTGAGCCTTATTGGCTGTGGTTAATTAAATATTGAGGTATAGTTGTTTGTTGGAATTGTGAAAATTTTGACTAGTGATTTATCTGGGAATTTTTGGGGGGGAAGAGTTCATTAATTATAATTCCTTAATCAGGACAGGATTCTGTGTTGCCCAGGACAACAAAGCAGACAGAGCAAAACATAAACATGACAATCTGGGTAATGGTTATGTGGGATTTTCCTGTATCGTTCTTGCAACTTTTTTTGTAAGTTTGAAATTACATCATAAAAAGTTACAAAAGTATTATTTAACTGAATTGGTATTAAGATTCTTCTATTTTTCTCTTCTCTTTGAGATGTAGTGCAGTGATGTTGTCAAAACTCACTGCAACCTCAAACTCTTGAGCTCAAGTAATCTTCCACACTCAGCTAATTTTTCTATTTTTAGAAAAAGGGATCTCACTCTTGCTCAGGCTGGTTTTAAATTCTGAACTCCTGACCTCAAGCCATCCTCCTGCCTCAGCCTCCCAGCGTGCTAGGATACAGGAGTGAACCACTGTTTCCCTGCCTAGTGTTGATTTTTCGAGCCAGTTTACCATCGTAGTTGGCTTCATTCTCCTTTATAGAATAACTTTTAAACCAAAATGCTTAATTATGTCTTCAAATTTTGGTGACCTTCAGATTGCAGAATAGCTTGCATTAGGCTTTAAAGCAACTTTTTTTTTTTTTTTTTTTGAGGCAGAGCCTCAAGTTATCCCCCTGGGTAGAGTGCTGTGGTGTCACAGCTCATAGCAACCTCCAACTCCTGGGCTTAAGCGAGTCTCCTGCCTCTGCCTCCCAAGTAACTGGGACCACAGGCACCCGCCACAACACCCAGCTATTTTTTGGTTGCAGCCGTCATTGTTGTTTGGTGGGCCTGGGCTGGATTCGAACCTGACACCTTAGGTGTATGTGGCTGGCGCCTTAGCCACTTGAGCCATAGGTGCTGAGCCAAAGCAACTTTTAAAATCAGTGGAAAATAAGGAAAACTTCACACTTCATGCAGTTTGCTAGGAAAACTGAATAACTTTGCATTTCTACCTTTATAGTGTGGATGGCCAAACCATTCTTAAAAATTGCTCCCAAAAAGACATTTTTAAAGATGTACTTTTTTCTGGGCCGCATCTGTGGCTTAGTGAGCAGGGCCCGGCCCCAGCCAAACTGCAACAAAAGATAGCCAGGCATTGTGGCAGGCGCCTGTAGTCCCAGCTACTCAGGAGGCTGAGGCAAGAGAATCACAGCACTTTACCGAGGGCAACAAAGTCAGACTCCGTCTCAAAAAAAAAATACATATATATATTTTTCTATTTGCTTTATTGGTACAAATTAGAGAATAGTTCTAATTACTGCCTGGTTTATGAAGCAGTTGAGATTATGCTTATTTTATTATGTGTGGTTCAAACCTAAAATTTTCAGTGTATATGAAACTTGTCTAAGTACTACCTTTTTTCTTAAATAATTTCCTAACTTTAAAAGTATTATTTGCCTACTATGAAATATACGAAAGCAACTTGAAAATGACAAAGAAAAAACCAAAATTACTCATAATCACGCATTCAAGAAATAACTGTTATTAAGATTTTGTCCTTTTTATAGTTGCAAAAAATATAATTGGCATAAACTTGTATGCAATTTAGCTGTGTTTCTTTCATGTAACATGTCATGCACATTTTCATTAAAAATTCTTTGACATTATTATTTTTAAACTTTTCATAATATTCCATCATATGATATACCACTTTATTTACTTCTTTTTCTGAGGTATTAATTTTGAAGGCAGTAAGTAACTTATCTTGGTTGTAAGATGTGGAAGATATAGAAGAGATATATAATTGGGAGATATTTTTTCAAATTTAAAAGTTATAGGCTCGTTGCCTGTGGCTCAAGCGGCTAAGGCGCCAGCCACATACACCCAAGGTGGCGGGTTCGAATCCCCAGCCTGGGCCCGCCAAACAACAATGATGGCTGCAACCAAAAAATGGCCAGGTGTTGTGGCAGGCGCCTGTAGTCCCAGCTACTTGGGAGGCTGAGGCAGGAGACTCACTTGAGCCCAGGAGTTGGAGGTTGCTGTGAGTGTGATGCCATGGCACTCTACCCAGGGGGATAGCTTGAGGCTCCATCTCAAAAAAAAAAAAAAAAATTTAAAAGTTATAAATTAAAGGTTTCCATTTGGCAGATGAACTTAGGGATTTTGAGATTATGTATTTTACTTCAGAAGTACATAAGATAAAAATCATACTCAAAATCTTTAGACATTTTGTTTTTAGGACCAATAACAGATTTAGGGCAATAAGCATTTTAAGGTTAGGAATTAAAACAATATATTCTTGTTTACAAAAAACTTAAAGTGATACCTGAGGTATAAATCTATGATTTGACCCATAGATTTCTGTGCCTTCTGCATAGTATGGTCCTGACTGTGTGGATGTTAGGGTTGTTTGATTTAAATGTCTTGAAATTGTGTCTGTTTTTAGGTCAATTCTTGGTATTAGTGGTCACTTCACATCAAAATGTTGTTATTGGTCATAGAATTATTTGACCAGAAAATACATATGAATAGCTCTAGCCTTTTTCTTTTCTTTCTTTCTTTTTTTTTTTTTTTTGAGACAGAGTCTCAAGCTGTCACCCTGGGTAAAGTGCTGTGGCATCACAGCTCACAGCAACCTCAAACTCTTGGGCTCAAGTGATTCTCTTGCCTCAACCTCCCAAGTAGCTGGGACTACAGGCACGCGCCACAACGCCCGAGTATTTTTTGGTTGTAGTTGTCATTGTTGTTTGGCAGGCCCAGGCTGGATTCAAACCTGCCAGTTCTGGTGTATGTGGCTGGCGTCCTAGCTGCTTGAGTTACAGGTGCCCAGCCAGCTGAAGCTTTTTTCTTTGAGTCTTTGTATACTTCTTTAGCTACAAAAACAAAACTGATACTTTAAGTGTATACGTAAAGAATAGGTTTAATAGTAATTGTGTATGAATAAATTAATAGCTTCTTTGGTGTTGGAACATCATCCTGCTCTAAGTACATATATGGTGATGTCTGAAACTTCATAAATGAATACCTGAAATACCTATAGATGGAATTCATCTAGAAGGAATCTACTAGTAAGCTCACTCAAAGGATTGTTAACATCTCTTATGATTTCATGTTTTGGCAGGTAAACCTAGCCTTTAAGCAACCTGGAAAGAGGCTAGAGCACCAAGGAATTAGAATTGAATTTGTAGGTCAAATTGGTGAGTTTTAAAATAGTATTACTTTTTTTTTCTTTGATAACTGAGTTTTGAAGATGGTTGGATTTGGCACTTAAATGATTAAGTTAGAGTTTAGCTTCGTGGAAGGAAGGAATTGATTGTGCATAATAAAAGAAAAGACTTATTTTATAAGTATATTAAATCATGTTTCTTTTTCTTGTGTTAAATATTTGACTTATCCTGCCTTTGTTATGGGCCTTCATTACTGAAAATGAAAGGAGTTAAGTAAACTACCAGCCTTGAAAAATAATTCAAGTAAATTAGTTGACTTCCTGAAATTTCCATCTGTCTATATTTTTCACCACCCTTACAATTAATTATCTGCCTCACCATCATCCTTCATTTTCTAATTATCCATACCATTGTTTTCCTGATCTAATATAAACCTGCAGCCAGACTCACCCTAGAAGAAAAGTGTAATTTCTTCTTGACTTAGATCAACTTGTTTACATTTCCATATGTGTAATTCAGAGACATGCTTGATTTAGTAGGGTGTTAAACTGTATATAAATCAGTATATTGGCACTGTAGATTCAGAAAAGAGAAACAAAAATATGTCTTTATAAGACTGTCTACATAATTAGATTTTAATCAAGCATTCTAATATATGAATATTTGTTTATATATCCTTCATGAGATTGTATGGATTTATTTTGATCAAAGGAATGAACTCATTTTTAATAAAAATTTTCATTGTGCTATGCTACTTGAATTTTTTATGCTTTACATGGGGCATAGTAAATGAGAAGGATAATAATATTTAAATCATAGCTCTAATTTCTTAAAGTAGAGATAAATCTAGCAAATCTTTTGGTAAAAATTATTTGCTTTGCAAGTAGAAGCTTAGCTTTTATTGAAATGGCTATTAATTGTAATTGGTCTTTTTGCTTTTTTTAAAATGTTTTAGAACTTTTCAATGACAAGAGTAATACTCATGAATTTGTAAACCTGGTGAAAGAACTAGCCCTACCTGGAGAACTGACTCAGAGCAGAAGTTATGATTTTGAATTTATGCAAGTTGAAAAGCCATATGAATCTTACATTGGTGCCAATGTCCGCTTGAGGTATGAATGTGTATCAGAAACTGTAAATGTAGCTTGTGTAACATAGCAAACCCCATCTTTACAAAAGATTTAAAAAAAGTTAGCCAGGTTTGATGGCATACACCTGTAGTCCCAGCTACTCAGTAGGTTGAGACAGGAGGATCACTTGAGCCCAGAAGTTTGAGGCTGCAGTGATCTATGATCATACCACTGTTCTCTAGCCCAGGAGACAGAGCCAGACCTTGTCTCTGGGGGGAAAAAAAAAAGGAAAAAAGAAACTGTAAGCAGAATTAGAACCAGAAAGTAATGGTTACTATTGATATTTATTCAAACTTCTAATTATATTTCTGGGTTAGAAGACTTAAAATACTTAAAAATTCTGTCACATATTTTGTCTGGTTAATGCTAATCTGAAGTAATTAGAGCCTTTACATTGTGAATTTAGCGAACCCCTTATGAGAAATTGTAATCATATACCTCCCTTGTGTAAATTGTCCCTGAGGTACTTCATTTATCATGTAATGCAGTTAATATTTGCTCACTGCAAACACTAACCTCATTTAGTATATGATTAAGAAGTGATGTGGAGACCCAAAGAAGCTATCTGGCTTCTGTAGCAGAACTAGAGTAGAAACCCAGTTTTCTAAGTTCTCAGTCCAGTGTCTCCTTGCAGGAAGGCAGAGATGCCTCAGAGTCCAGGGCAACTGGAAATATTATTTTGAATGTATCAAGTCCAAGATCCTCCTCTCCTTGTTTAACTTGGATTATCTAGCTAGAACTGGGTTTGATGACTCAAGATTCCAAACAGCAGTGCCTTAACTAGATAGGAATTAAAAAGAAAAGTTATCTGGAGAGATTTCTTCAAGCAGGCTTGGTGACAACTCTCTAAACTCATCTGAAAAATATACTGTTACTAAAATTAAACTTTGTATTCTTTTCATGTTGAGAGCATTTACAAAAGATTAGAACTCCTTTATGAAATAATGAAGTAAACCAGTTTGATGGAAGTGTTTTGGATTGTGTGTGAAAACCCCACACTGTACCCCAGAAGTGCATTAATGTACATAGTTACCATTCAATAAAAAAAAAAAAAGAATGAATGAATGAAGTAAGTTGACCCCAAGAAGTTCCAGTGAGAAGGAAAACCTGAGTTGCAGTTAATGTTTGTTCATTGAAAACACTAAAATTTATCATAGATGATTTAACTCATCCTCTTCACTTTGTAGGTATTTTCTTAAAGTGACAATAGTAAGAAGACTGACAGACTTGGTAAAAGAATATGATCTTATTGTTCACCAGCTTGCCACCTATCCAGATGT